TCAATTTAGTGAGAAACCCATGAGCTATAACAACTACGCCAAAGGATAATTCTCTTTTTGTGTGTGAGTGAAGTACCTCTAAGTGCAGCAAGCCTGTATTTCTTGTGTGTGATGTTCTTGTAAAAACATCCTGCTCCTGTGAAGACATAAAGATTTGCATAAAATGGGCTCTTCAACTTGATGCTTACATGTCATATATAAATGAATTTCTACTCATTTATAGTTGAAACAGTAAAAGAATATAAATGAATATAAATCCTTGTGCTTTTAGAGTGTGTTTAGAAGAGCATCTGATTTTGAACACTAAACCAATCATTTAGTAGCAGGGATTAAAAAAAAAAAATCTGAAATTCCCTCTACATTACTATGATGCCATGAAAGGGTTAACCATGCTGAAAATCCCATTAATCATGATCAAATTAATTAATTAATAGGTCATACTTCAGTTTATGACTCTAACACAAACAGGAGACAGTTGGGATAATATTGATTTATATAAAAAGAAATTTAAATAATGTATTTAAATAAACATAAATATATACATATATTGAGTATATATATATATATATATATATATATATATATATATATATATATATATATATATATATATATATATATATATATATATATATATATATATATATATATATATATATATATATATATATATATATATATATATATATATATGGGAGTTGGCTCGGAGCCAGGCAAGCGAGCTTGTTTGTCTGGCTGTGTGTTTCCTGGCATGGGCCGCCTTTTACAGCTGCTTTTTGTATTTCTGCTTCCGTCTCCTTGAACCCCAGTCGGCCTCGGCAGATGGCCACTAACACCGAGCCTGGTTCTGCTGGAGGTTTCTTTCTGTTAAAAGGGAGTTTTTCCTCTCCACTGTCTCTACAAGCATGCTTATTGTGAGGGATTGCATTTGAGTCAATGAGTCGATGCAATCAATGGTTTTCCGTAGATAGGAAACTTTGAATCAGTTTGACTGTATGATCCAGTTGGATCAAAATATGACTGCATAAAACCAGGAGAACAAATAGTAAAGTTAGAAAGTTATTACAGACGAAAGCAACAATTGAGTTGCTTCACAGAATAGTCACAAAATAGCTGTGAACATAAGATGATTTGGGAAGGTGAGATTGTAACACAAATAATGAAAATCCTGCAAGAAAAATAAGTAGGTAACTGCAACCTAACATCCAGAAAGGTAAAAAAAAAAACACCAAGAGATGATGACTAAACACAAAGTAAACAGAAAAGCAAAAAAATAAATAAATGTAGAAATGCAAACCAACATACAAATGTAGACCACAGAGATTACAAAGTGGAAAGATAATAGATTAAAACATGCCATTATTGTAAAATAAATACAGTTTGTTCTAGTTTGTAGCAGAGGTGGAAGCTTTAACTCTGTGACCTTTTTCCTGTAAATCTTTTGGCAATAACCATAAAGAAGATCATAAAAATAGAAGGTAATATAGAAATTGGGTGGCTAAATGAGTAACTGCTCAAGATTAAATGAAAGCTTTACAACTTAACGCATATAGATAATTTATACAATTATTTTTTTCATATATATACTGACAGAAGAGATGATGTTTTAACTATTGTGCAAAAAATTTGTAAAACATTTGAGAGACATCTTAAATCAGGTTTGAATATTTATAAATTGCAATGAAAGGCAAGCTTAAACTGTTGGTTCTGTGTTATTAAGTCATTGGAAGAGGGAGCTTGGCCCCCATAGGATTAATCACTAACTAAAAAACGTGTGACCTTCACTGGAATCATGCTGAGAAACTCAACACAACAATAATCTTCTATTATCAGATAAAGCTTTTTTTAGGTTAACTTCTGTTAATAATTATAGGTTATAAGTATAATGAATAAGATTTATTCAATATTGGATAAAAAACAAAGAAGTTTAACAGGAAGGTTACTTTACTTTAAGTGCAATTAGATATAGAGGGGCTGTGAAAAATAAGCTTTACTTCTTCATACCCCTTTTCAGACAATTTACATTAATCAATGTCAGTTCTATGGCTGTATATATCAACAGGTTTATTTGGTGGAAGGTTTTGTTTCTATTTATGTTCAGATGAATTTAGTTTGTTTGGAAATTAGCCTCACACCTACTAAGTATTTAGCGCAAGCTGGCTAATTTAACATGACAGTGATTGATCATGAATTTGATATTATAAATTATTCCTTTTAGAAGGGATGCTGTTCTTTGGGTATAAATTTGATCTAAATTGAAATTTTTGTCAAGATAAGCCTCGTTTAATTATTAGGTTATTAAACCTAGATAATTTTTTTCATCTGATCATTACCCATAATTAAACTCCAATCACACCTTGACTTAACTCAGTAATACCTAATGTATACTTTTTATCCATACATAATAGAATAGAGAATATAAAATAGACTCAGACTCAACTTTATTTGTCCTTGGGATTACTCCTTCAGGGAAATTCTGGTTCCACTAGCTTAAATAGAATACAAAGAGTTAAAACAAGAGGCCATTAAAGATGAAAAAAATAAAAATACATCAGACAATATAAAAGAGTGTATATAGTACAAAAGAGAAAAAGTTGTAATTTCCTGGGATATGTTTCCTTTTGATATAAAAATAACTGCACAGTAGTGAGCTAAGGAAAGGCTACACCGTAGTTGACTTGGGTGATCGCACTTGCACTGCAGAAATATACTGACCATATAAATAAGTAAAAATAATACAGACTACACAGTAGTTAACTTTAATTATTGCACTTGTACTGCCGGGATGGACTGACCTTATGAAGAAGTAAAGAACTACACAGACTAGAAAGTAGTAGGTAGGTGTTATTGCACAGTGAGAGAGGAAAATAGTGCAGACGAGTGAAAATAGGTAATGTTTTGCACAAGATGTCCAAGGAGATGGGTGTTGACCCTTGTCCCTCTTCCGATCACCTCCTCCTTCCCCCAAGTGAGGAGTTGTACAGCTTGATGGATTGAGGAACAATGGAGTTCAGCACTCTGTTGGTCCTACATTTGAGGAGGAGCAATCGCTCACTTATTAGGCTCCTCTGAGTGGTGAAGACAGTGTCGTAATGGTTGATAAAATAGATTTTAATATAGGTTAAAACGATAGATTTTTTAATTTGTCAAAATTATAGAATCTTATTGGAAAACAAGATTACAAAAATGGACTTATCTATTCACAACATTCAGGAAAAAGTTAACTAATTCTTGCTTTTTAACACTTGTTTACTTATAAGTAATTTATTGTTGATAATATACATTCACTGTGACAAATTAGGCTATATTATACGTTAATGAACAATTGTTTTTTTTTGTCTTGCTTTGTTTTTTTTACAGGGTGAAATTTATTCAAATAGCAGCGTAGAGTAATAATGTGTCCCAGTCTTTAAGAAAATAGGCAGTTAAATGCCTAAAATCCACAGTAGAATGGGCCTTAAGCTGCAAGGATAAGTTTAAACAAACAGAAAACTCAATGAATGAAACCACTTCCTGTTTGGGTCGCAGCACGGCGCCGCCCACATTCTCTCCCCCCTCCACCTACTGATACAGCTCAACAAATAAGCAATGGCTTCTGTCACACAAGGCATGCTGGGAGATGAAGTTTCACTCAAAATGGAAATTTCCATCATATCTGTGTAGAGGAGTGAGCGGAAATTTACCCTGTCTCCTCCGCCGTTAGTTGCAGAGCCATGTCTGCCTTTCAGTGAAAGTCAACTATAAATATATTAATCTGTTGAGACCAGATAAGATTATCATAATTTAACAGATTAAGCAGCAATATCCCCTATGTTGGTGTTATGGTTTTGTATGGAATGTCCTGTTTTATAATACTTGTATTAGTTTGATTTGCAGATGTAGCAGCTGTGGTAGCAGGCCAAGAAGGCCAACCAGAGGGCCTGAAAGCATTTTTTTGTGTGCAGTTTATCAGTTTGGTTGCCAGTCTTTCTGACACATACTTTTAAAGATCCAAACGCAGCAAAAAAAAAAAAAAAAAAAAAAAAAAGCACAACAAAACAAAAAAAAACGTGAAAAAAAATATAATAGCAATGAATAATGCAGACAACAATATTTTACATTAAATGACACATCATATTAAATAGAAGCAAATAACCTTTATTTCCCTGTTTTGCAAATAAATAAAATATGTAATTTTAAGCTTCAACAATAAAAACTACGGTATGTTTTTCTAGGATCACACAAAGTTGGTATTGGAATGAAAGAAATGGTTTTGTAGTAACACACAATAAAAACACAAACTACCTTAAAAAAACTCTTATGTTATTATTGTTATATGCCAATTATATGCCTTTAAAAAGTCCCAGCTAAAATGTGAAACTCCTGTAAAAGTCACAACTATTAATAAAACATGCACTAATTGTCTGATTCTGGATTTTTCCAAACACTGCCTCCAAATCAGATTAGGTGTCATTCTTCAGTGGCCAGAAGGAGTGTTTCTGGTTGGTTCTCGAGCTGAAAGCAGCTCAGAGATAGGCCTATTATTACTGCATTATTGCAGGATAAGAAGCTACCTTTGTGTCTGTATGTTTTGAAAATGAATTATTGAGTTTAAGTACTCTAGTTTGTTTAAGGACTAATTAAAACTATTGTACATTCCTGTTCAATTATAAGGAATATTTAAAAACCTATTTGAATAAAAACAATATTATTTCCATTAATCAGATTCTCTTTATTTACGAGATTTATAAAGTTTCTATTTCTAATTAAGGGGTTTAAGGTAAAATGGCTTTATTCATTCAAACAAAATACAATTTATATTAGTAGATGCAAAGCTGAGTTTCTTTTCCTCTCCATGTTTTCATATCTTGGATGAGAGCCATTTAAAACTCACCTGGCCTGTTTCATTAAAGTTATATAATCATGTGGGTTAATACCGGTAATTAGCTGGAGCAACTTCTAGGCGTTTTTATTGCATCTCTGCAACACGTCACGGGTTGGCTCCACGTGTGGGGCGTGGATTTGTATTGGTGGCTATAAGGAGTGGGAGGCTGATAGGGCATCGTTGTCTGACGGAGCATCACATAAGAAGCAGAACTCTGCAAAAATGATGACACCGATTAGTTTGGGTGACATCTAAGCCTCCTTGACAAGAAAAAAGATCAACTCAAAAGAAAGAAATATCTCTTTCTAGGCGGACTGAGCGTCTTCTTCCTGTTAATCCACTTTAAGGGGCGTGGAGTGGTGCGTTTCCGCGGTTCTGTTGAGTGTTTTCTCCCTGTAACCGGTGAGTATATGTACAACATTTCTTCTTTAGGTTTAATCCATCTAAACTACACCCGCGGTTAACAGTTTTAATAAAGAAGGCGCTCATTTAAGTAAGCCTACCATATGTCTATATCGCTACGCTGACGTCAGAGTTAAAACAACTCAATGTTTCAGATAAAAACAAACGTTTTTAAATTGTAAAAAAAATATGTCCGCTCCGACTGCGCACGGTAAGTTCTTGTAAAAAACAAAGTGTTGTTTGAATGAGAGACATAAGGATGCGCAGTGTTTTCACATGAATGAATGAGCGACTGTTCTAGAATCTTCCTGCCACCCGATAGGTGCATCCGTATCTGCTCGTTGATTGGTTCTCGCCTCCTCCTTGTGTTCACGCGGCAGTCTCCGGCTGCCCCTACGCATCTGGATATCAATTAAAGCCCCATTGTTCCCCCTGTCATTCATCCCGTTTTGACGCTGTTGAGACCGGGATCCTAACCTTCAACCAAACAAAACAATTTCTGCGCTTTTACTAAAACTCATGTCGTAAGGGTAATGCTGCGCTGATGGGTTGTAATTAATTTAACCATTTTGTGTTCAGGATGCTCTTATTTGGGAAATAATTAGGCTTTTAGGGGTAAAATATGAGCAGAATGAAAGGTGATTCTTCGCCTGGGTTTTTAATTGAAAGGAAAAGAGGAAGCAAAAATACCTTCACCTGTTGTTACTGGTTTCACCGGTTTTGTAACTCAACCTTAATAGAAAACTTATTAAAATGCCCTGCATTCTAGATGAACTCTTTGGGTATTTTTTGAAGAATGTATTTTCATTCTGTGCATTTGCATCTTTCGGTCGAACAGGAATAATCTTTTTTTCGGCCTTTTTTCAAGGCAACATGGGTGCACAACTGTATTTTTTGTATTATTATTATTATTATTGCTCCACCACAGGTAGGATGGCTTGTAAGGACTTGTCTGGTCATCCCGACAGTCTATTTACTTAAGAAGAATGCTCTTAAAGGGAAAGTACACAATTTCTTGAAGAACGATTATAAAGCTTATCATAGTCGTAGTTTATTTTTAGCTGTAGTAGCTTCACAGCCCTCTCCTCACCCACGCTCTCTCTATTCACCTGGTCGCAATCTTTACTCGCTGTCAGGGGCGGATCTAGGATTCTAGGAGTTCAGGGGCATCAATTCCTTAACTGTGCTTATTCCTCTCTTCACCAACAACAAATCATGTGGATTTGTTGACATGTGTGCATTATTTGCCAAAATTAAAGGAGGGGAACCATCTATTTTAGCTGACTGAAATAATCTGTTCCCCTTTTTATGATCTTTATCAAATGTATTTTCTGTTTAAATATTTATCTAACAATTTACCAAAAAAGTTCAAACTAAAACCACTGGACTATGTTTTCCTCCAGACATTTTAAATTAAGAATTAAAATACATTTCATAAAGATCATCAAACCAACAGTGAGATTTATTTGAACTATTTTGGATTTCAAAATATAAAATAAATGTTTCAAACATAATATTTGAAAAATAATGGAGGATTTGTTTCTTTTTTTTTCCCCATGGGGGAATGGATTATATCAGGTGGCTTAAATATTTAATTTCCCTCTCATAACTCTGGCAAATAATGATCAAATGTATTCCAAATCCACAGAGTTTGTTGTTGATGAAGAGAGGAATAAACACAGTTAAAGACTTGCAGGTCAATTAACACCCCCCATAAATAAAGAGCAACTGTTTCCAAATTCCCAAAAATTGTTATGTGTGATATCATGTCATATACTAAAAATTCCCTTAATCCAGTAATCTCTCATATTTCACATTGCCCTTTAAAAACAAAACCGCGTAAGAAGACCTCGTCTACTTATTTATTTTACAATTTTTTAAACAACAGCTGCCGCTTAAACTTGATGCTACAACCTTTACATGATTGTGAGTTATTTTTACCAAGAAATTGATCAGAAGCGCAGATCTGCCAGATGCGCCTATCTGGCTTCAATGCGCGCTCCCAATACAGGGAGGACAGATTAAGGGGAACATAGGGGAACAGAAAAAAAGGCTCTGATTCAGTCAAAGCTTCACTTACAGTGGGGCAAAAAAGTATTTAGTCAGCCACCAATAGTGCAAGTTCTCCCACTTAAAAAGATGAGAGGTATGTAATTTTCATCATAGATATACCTTAACTATGAGAGAAAAAATGAGGGAAAAAAATCCAGAAAATCACATTGTCTGATTTTTAAAGAATGTATTTGCAAAATATGGTGGAAAATAAGTATTTGGTCAATAACAAAAGTTCATCTCAATACTTTGTTATATACCCTTTGTTGGCAATGACAGAGATCAAACGTTTTCTGTAAGTCTTCACAAGGTTTTCACACACTGTTGCTGGTATTTTGGCCCATTCCTCCATGCAGATCTCCTCTAGAGCAGCGATGTTCTGGGGCTGTCGCTGGGCAACACGGACTTTCAACTCCTTCCAAAGATTTTCTATGGGGTTGAGATCTGGAGACTGGCTAGGCCCTTCCAGGACCTTGAAATGCTTCATACGAAGCCACTCCTTTGTTACCCGGGCGGTGTGTTTGGGATCATTGTCATGCTGAAAGACCCAGCCACGTTTCATCTTCAATGCCCTTGCTGATGGAAGGAGGTTTTCACTCAAAATGTGACGATACATGACCCCATTCATTCTTTCCTTCACACGGATCAGTCGTCCTGGTCCCTTGGCAGAAAAACAGCCCCAAAGCATGATGTTTCCACCCCCATGCTTCACTGTAGGTATGGTGTTCTTTGGATGCAACTCAGCATTCTCTCTCCTCCAAACACGACGAGTAGAGTTTTTACCAAAAAGTTCTATTTTGGTTTCATCTGACCATATGATATTCTCCCAGTCATCGTCTGGACCATCCAAATGCTCTCTAGCAAACTTGAGACGGGCCTTGACATGTACTGGCTTAAGCAGGGGGACACGTCTGGCACTGCAGGATTTGAGTCCCTGGCGGCGTAGTGTGTTACTGATGGTAGCCTTTGTCACTTTGGTCCCACGGGGTGAGATCTTGCGTGGAGCCCCAGATCGAGGAAGATTATCAGTGGTCTTGTATGTTTTCCATTTTCTAATAATTGATCCCACAGTTGATTTCTTCACACCAAGCTGTTTACCTATTGCAGATTCAGACTTCCCAGCCTGGTGCAGGTCTATAATTTTGTTTCGGGTGTCCTTTGACAGCTCTCTAGTTTTGGCCATGGTGGAGTTTAGAGTGTGACTGTTTGAGGTTGTGGACAGGTGTCTTTTATACTGATAACGGGTTCAAACAGGTGCCATTAATGAAGGTAACGAGTGGAGGACAGAGGAGCCTCTTACAGAAGAAGTTACAGGTCTGTGAGAGCCAGGAATCTTGCTTGTTTGTAACTGACCAAATACTTATTTTCCACCATATTTTGCAAATAAATTCTTTAAAATCAGACAATGTGATTTTCTGGATTTTTTTTTTCTCATTTTGTCTCTCATAGTTGAGGTATATCTATGATGAAAATTACCGGCCTCTCTCATCTTTTTGAGTGGGAGAACTTGCACTATTGGTGGCTGACTAAATACTTTTTTGCCCCACTGTACCTGGGACATCAGTCTGTTTAGCAACAACTGGTGGTGGTGCTGGTGGTCCAGCTGTCTGCTTTTTCAAAAAGCTTCTGATATCCATTGATATCCGCCACTGGCCTATCCGTGTTTAAATTTGCTGCGCGGAGTTGCTCGACTCCTGAAGCTGGCAACGACGAGAGGGAAACACTTCTTCTTCTGCATGGTAATGCTACAGGCTGCTTTCCTGCACATGCTGCCACTATCTGGTGAATTCCAGTACTTAACATTTTACTCAGATCAGCTCAAAAGCGAGATCCGGGGCTTTTGGGGAAACATCAGGGGCTGAAACCCAAGTAGCCACCACCTAGATCCGCCTCTGCTCACTATAGCAGCAACTTCCACCTATTTTGGGAAGTTTTTCCGTTCTTCCAGCTGCTCTTCTTTCCTTTTTCTTTTCTGGAATCCCCTTAAGTACCTCTTTTTTGTAGCCATCGTAACTTACCCATTGTACGTAACGGTTATGGTTTTAATCTACCCTCTGGATTACCCATAATTCCAAGTAGTGTAAAAAGTAAAATACTCAAATACAAAGTTCTTTTAAGACCTTCATTGCGGTTTGAAACATATTATATGCAGTGATGGGACTAACGGCGTTGAAAGTAACTAACGCGTTACTAACGCCGTTACCTTTCTTTAGTAACGAGTAATCTAACTAATTACTTTGACTGTAACTATAACGCAGTTACCATTGCAGGCACCCCGTTACTGCGGGTTACTCAGGTCGCACAATGAACCTTTTTTTGTTGATAGGACTCGTGCGCAGCTGCGTGAAGCTGACACCCCACCCACGTCAAAAAACTCTGCAAATAGACTGAATGGTTAGTGCAACGTTAGTGCAGATTTGTGCAGAAAAAAATATTGTTTGTGCTACTTTTGTTTAAGAGATGTTACAGATTATTTTTTAGGTCATCCAGAGGCGCGCGCCTTGTCATGAGAGAGGGGAGGATGAGAATGGCTGATGTATAGTGAGATTCCGTCTGTCAGTTGGGTAGGTGGGTGTTTCCGCTGGTGGGTGTTAACGTACAGCACACACAGAGAGATGGAGAGTGAGGAGGATCCAGCAGCAAAACAGCGTTTTCCTGATGGAAATACCGGTGTTACGTCGAGCTGCGTTTCCCCATCACATACGGTTTCCTCTGCATCTCCGCACAGCGCAGGCGGCAAGAATCACGGTGCAAGCGACAGGAAACGCGCATGCTCGCTAAAGGCGCGTAACAGTTGCCCTGTGCTCACGCCACAGGAGAACTATGGAGAGCGTGAATGATCAAATGAAAGGGAGAAATCTGGATGGATGGATGGATGGATACTTTGCCTTTTCAACCTACTGTATTTTTTATTTTAAACATTATTTGATGGCCTTTGTGGCAGGGATGGAGATCCATATTTTATGTCACACGCAGAGTATACATCTTGATAGATAGATGGATAGATAGATGTTGCAGTATCTATAACAACCCAAACACACAGGATTTCAGAATTAGACATCCCCAGTTATTAATTTCACCAGATCTGAATGCCCTGTTAAAAAACTTCACATGGCGTTCCCCCCTGATGTCATTTACGTTGAGTTGCAATAAATGCTAAACTGTCTGCAGGTTCTTGTCTTTGTCGTCCGCTCTATTCAGCTGGCTTTGGAAACACACGGCGAGAAGGTGGGGGCTGGGTGGTGAGGGTTACGGGGGCGAGAAACGCAAAAGTAACGCAATAGTTACTTTTACTAGTAACTAGTTACTTTTATTGTGGAGTAACTCAGTTAGTAACTCAGTTACTTTTTGGGAGAAGTAACTAGTAACTATAACTAATTACTTTTTTAAAGTAACGTGCCCAACACTGATTATATGAGTGTATTTTTTACTAACCATCTAATGAACTATACACAGTTATTATCATAGTAATTAAAAGTACCACTGTCTGCTTTGCTATTGGTGTCATGTTTAAACGGCTCACCATCATGCTGAAATCTGCCATGTGTTGGGGTATAAATATGGTACGGTCAGTCATCTTAATATCAGGTGGTTTTAAGAGGAATTTTTCGCACCATTATGTCTGCAATGGGATGTCCTAGTCCACAATTGCGTGGGGGGCCTACCTAGTGTCAGTGACGGGGCCCATAAGCAACTGCAGTCTCTGCTTACCGATATTTACACCATTGTGTAGAATATAGTAACTCAGACCCAAATCTCTTTAAATGTTCTATTGTCAGCACACGTTGCAACCAGGAAGATTATTGTTGGCGCACCACCTCCATTCTCCCATTTTCTTTGTCTGTACACATATTTATTTTTTTTTTACTGTTATTTCTGCTTGCAAAAAATACTACTTAAGGGCTTAAGACAACCCAACATTAAACATCCAGAAGTTTCCATTTAAATATGGCCTCCAGTCGGTCAGTTACATCCATGTAAATGTGATCTGCCATCCAGTGGATTAACTGACCACACACGAGGCGGAGGTTTTTGTCAGATGAGGTATTGGTTTTCTGAAAGCTGAAAATTTATCAAAACCCATTATGGACCTACAGAGTTTCTCATTGGACATAATATATATATATATATATATATATATATATATATATATATATATATATATATATATATATAGGCCACTTTTAATATGACCCATAAGATGGGAAAATGCGCAGCTTTCAGTTTCGACTGTTACTTTGTCAGTGGGGCTGAGTGAGTGGGTTCTAAGTACACTGGGAAAAATAAAGATTATATTTGAGTCCTATATATTATATAACTCTATAACTAAAAAAAATGACAGAAACATGTTTACTGAGAAATGCTGCACAGTTTTAGAGCCAGGGTCTCCTAGGAAGTTGATGACAACCACATGGAGAATCAGGCCTTGATAGTGACTTAGTAAAAATGAAAACAAAGACTTCGTTTATAGACAGAGATGCTTTTTGCATAGAGCATGGTTGTGAAGGAGAAGGCGTGGGGGTTATTTTCTGCCATGTATGGCAGAGTGAAACCTCAGGAGAGGCCAAACATTTAGATGACAGAAATAATACAGATGTGCTCAAACATCCCTCCAATCTGTATTCATTTTTGCTGACTCTGGAATTAATTTTGATCCATATGAGGATCTAAAGTTGTATTGTTCAGCAAATATTCATTTGAGAGAACAAACCCTTCATCTGACAGCTCATGGTTCAGACTGATTAGATGGTTGTTTTATGGAAATCCTCCACAAATAATATTTTGGGATTCATTTTATCTTCTATGAAGCACATAAGTCAGAGATTTCTTTATTGAAACACTATTTTTAAAAGTCTGAAAGCTGCAGAATGGAGAGACGGAAACCTAGAGAAAAACTTTTGAGGTATCTGAGAAGGAACAAATGCATAAAAAGTACATCAAACTTCTCATCTCCTTTAAGATCTAAATAAAAAAAAAAAATAATAATTTCAACACAAAGCAGATATTGTACAACAGATTGGGCCAGCTGTTAGGTGGCATCATTTAACATATTAGTGTAAAAGATAGAAAACAACACATGTATAAAGAACAAAGGCTTAAAGTATTTCCTAAAGTTCTTTTGTCGTTGCATTTCTGTCACTTTAAAATTTGACATTATAAAACAAATACTGATCTCAGACAAAGAGAACATGAGTAAATTATAAAAGCCCAGTGACAATTCATTAATTAGGTAAGTAAGTTCTTAAAAACAATCTGGCTAATTTTTTGATCACTGATTTTGTACAGTTTAGTTCTTTTCTTTAGCCAATCACAGGCCAGAGTACTGCAAAACCTGTATAATCGAAGGAATCTCAACTAGAACCTGATGGCCAACATGAAGTAGGATAAAAGATATCAAGAACCAACACATTATGATAAAAAAATATGCATAAGATAAAAAAAAAAGAACAGTAATTCCACCACACATTAAAACGCATAATCCTAATGGCTGTTCAGCAAACCCTTTAGTCGCCTTCACCATCCTCCCCAGACTTGTTTTACCTTCCTTATTCCAGCTGGAGATCAGAGATCCTATGACAAATGTTGGCGAGGATAGTTGCATGGTGCTGCATTTGCATAATTTATTTTCGAATCATACCGAACTTTATCTATATTTTTAGTACCCATGTCGTAGAAAACGCTTCACAAGAAAGCACTACCGCAATAACGTGCACTCCCTGATTATTTCTGATGCTACATGCCAAAGGGTGGTGCTTATCTCTGCAGACAGCTTAAAAACACCATTAGAAAAAAAGCTATTTATCTGACATTCATATTAAATATAGAATTAAAACATAAATGCTGCAACTAATGTCATACTAGCAACTTTTGATAAAAGCAAAATAAATACTGCAAAAAAATAGATTTGTTTACAATAGGCAAAGTATTATTTTGAGACAGTTTCATAAATAATAAAGTCAAACAATGGATTGTAGTTATAATATGAATGTGTTTATTTTTAATATAATTATCTTGAAAATGTTGGTTGTCTAAATGGCTGCCTAAATCCTGTAGCTAGTTGTGTGGGAACAGTGTAGCTGTTGCCAACAGAAGTTTGCGCCTTCTTGACCTGTCTTACATAATCTTTCTTTCAAGTTTGAATACTAGCATGGCTCGAGTTCAGCTGTATTTGAGAAGATTAGCTGGGAAATCTCAGGAAAGATCAATTCCAAGTCTGGGTGGCACTGGAAAAGTACTACAAAAGTTAATCCTAGCCTATTAAAGTGCATTTTTTAATTTTTTTATATTCACCATTTCTCCTTTTATTTTACTAATTATTATTATTATTGTTTTGTGAGGTGACCTTCATTCAGTGTCGGTTCAAATCGCAATTTTCTCCGTTTTTTTCCATGCAAAAGTCAAAATACTGATTAGTGTTTTTTTTTCTTTTGGTTTTTTTCAGGAATATTCAACCTTGGCTTTTCTAGACCAGTGATCTGCAACACCCTGCACAACTTAAAAAAGTTTCTGTTCCGACGGACTACCTCATTTCGTTTATTTTTTTTTGCCGGGCTGTCAGAGGATCATCTTGCCTGAAAACCAAAGCTAGTTGTTTCTATTGCTGCTATATTTTAATCTCAGCTATAACGCTTATAAATTTGCACATTTAATTCTTCTGCAAACTTTATAGCAATTCATCTGTAAAGATGCATGCTAGAATGGAAGCCGCGGACATAGCAGTGGTGGCACTGTATTTTGTCCTGGTGATGGTCATCGGGCTTCTCGCCATGTGGAAAGCCAACCACAGCACCGTTAGTGGCTATTTCCTTGCAGGGCGCTCCATGACATGGATAGTGATTGGGGCGTCCCTCTTTGTCAGTAACATTGGCAGTGAGCATTTCATAGGCCTGGCAGGGTCAGGGGCTGCCAGTGGTTTTGCAGTAGGAGCTTGGGAATTCAATGCCCTCCTGCTTCTGCAGCTGCTTGGCTGGGTGTTTATTCCTGTCTATATCTACTCTGGAGTCTACACCATGCCAGCTTACCTGTCCAAACGCTTCGGTGGGAACAGGCTGAAAGTTTACTTTGCCTGTCTCTCTGTGTTGCTTTACATATTCACCAAGCTCTCAGTGGATCTCTACGCTGGCGCTCTATTTATTCAAGAGTCCTTGGGGTGGAACCTCTATCTCTCAATTCTTTTGCTTATCAGTATGACTGCTCTGCTAACAGTCACTGGTGGATTGGTTGCAGTGCTCTACACAGATGCCCTCCAGGCAGTGCTGATGGTTGGTGGGGCCATGACCTTAACCATCATCAGCCTCATCAAAGTTGGTGGATTAGAGGGGGTCAGAACTAAGTATATGCAGGCCACTCCTAATGTCACTGCTATAATGGCTTCCGGAAACTACACCCACTACCCCTCCTGTCGTATTGAACCAAAGCCAAACTCACTACGTATCCTTCGTGGCCCTTTCGATGAGGATATTCCTTGGCCAGGTTTCATTCTGGGGCAAACCCCTGCCTCCATTTGGTACTGGTGTGCAGACCAGGTCATTGTGCAGAGAGTATTAGCAGCCAAGAACATTGCTCACGCTAAGGGCTCAACACTCATGGCCGGATTTCTCAAGATCCTGCCCATGTTCTTGATAGTCATCCCAGGAATGATCTCCCGCATCCTGTTTACAGACGAGATCGCCTGCATCGGGCCCGAGCACTGCATGGCGGTGTGTGGTTCCCGGGCTGGCTGCTCAAACATCGCCTACCCGCGCCTGGTCATGGCAGTGATGCCCACAGGACTCAGGGGGCTTATGATGGCAGTCATGATTGCTGCCTTGATGAGCGATCTCGACTCAATCTTCAACAGCGCAAGCACTATCTTCACCCTGGATATCTACCAGACTATTCGGAAGAGGGCTTCTCAGCGGGAGCTTCTGATCGTCGGCCGACTGTTTGTTGTGGTCATGGTAGCAATCAGCATCGCTTGGGTCCCTGTAATCATTGAGATGCAAGGTGGACAGACATACCTGTATATCCAGGAAGTCGCTGGCTACCTCACCCCACCAATTGCTGCCCTTTTTCTGCTTGGTGTGTTCTGGAAGAGGTGTAATGAGACGGGTGCTTTCTGGGGAGGCATGACCGGTTTCACGCTAGGTACGATACGACTAATCCTAGCCTTCCTCTACCGTCAGCCTCTCTGCAACCAGCCAGACAACAGACCATTCTTCATTGTCCACATTCACTACATGTACATTGCAGCCGGACTCTTCTGGATTTCGGGACTGGTTGCTGTGGTGGTCAGTCTTTGTACCGCCGCACCAGATGAGGAGCAGATTCGTACCACCACAATTTGGGGGCTCCGCAAGCTAGAAAAGATTCCCCCGAAGGACAGGGATGAAACATACAAACTCAATGAGAAGAACCAATGCAATGGCACTGCAGGATACTATAAAGATATTCCTGCTGATGTCAAAAGGGAAAGGTGTTTAGATGGAGCCGAAATCAAGCTTTTGGTCCCGTACACGGACCATGATCCAGCTACACCCAGCACAGAAACGTCCCCGGCCTCCACCCCTGCTGAGCAGCATGGTTTTAAAAAGATGGACATGATCAGGGCAGAGCAAGGCTGTCATGGACAAGAGGAGCGCGGCCTGTTCATGCGTTTCTTCGGCTGTCTCTGTGGGTACAAAGAAGAACCACATGGCAATCAGCAGCAAGTCATGCAAGAGGACGAGCGAGTGGTCGCAGAGCTGCTATATGAGCCCCCCAGGGTTAAACTCCTCCTCAACCTCCTCCTACTAACCGTCTGCTCTTTGGGCATTTTCATGTTTGTTTATTTCTCATTGTAGAAGAACCCTGCACTGAAATTACCCAACTGTTAGATTTTGTTTCCAACATAAAAGATATATGCTAGTTTTTTTGGGCTGTTACAGCAGTAAGAAATTTCACTGATTTAAAATCTTGTCTGTAATATTTACAGTTTTTTTTTTTTTTTTTTTTTTTTTTTTTTTTTTACAGGGATCCAAGCTTGTTATCATTTTTTAATGACTAAAGCGTCTCTATCTAAAAAAAAAAAAAAAAAAGCTAAACATATTGTACTTCTACATGACTTTGAATCCTATTGTTCTTAATCCTGCATTTAAAATATCTACTGGGAGTTTTAGAGTTGTTCTCTAAATGAGTTTAATATTTGCCTTACCACATGTGTTTCCTTTTTCTAGTGAGAATGGGTTGAAGTAAATTTAAAAACTCTTTATTTTGAAAGAGGCGAAAGAGAAAACATCAAGAATGGGTACACTGGTAGTGTTGCATATGTTTAAAAAAAAAATCATTTTATTTCTAGCGATGAATATTATTATTGGTTTGAATTGCTTAATGTGTTTGTATCTACAACCACTTGATGCAGTTAACATTTAGTATTGAGAAATGTGTTCATGTTTTGCAGCTCATGAGTTTCAGAAAAATAAGCACAACTTTAGAAGTGATTTTCTTTTCTGTATGTTCTTATTATTTCTTTTTAGGAAATATATAAATGATACAGTTAGTTACATGTGTGTTCAAAAAGAGTTTCTTATGACCAAATTCTAGTCATATCTGGATCTCTTGCTATTTCTACTGGTTTTTACATTGTTATCCACTGTTTTGTGATTAAATTTTTTTTCTCTGGCTGTATTCTGTTATATTTCATAACTTACGGCTGTTTTAACATTAATGTTTGGTAACAGAAAGCATCTGTTCTCATGATTCTGTTGCAGTTCTTTTTCTTGTTTGGCACCACATCTTTTAAATCCTTTGCAATATGTTAATATTGTCTGAAACTCTTTCAGGGCTCCTTTTTCAGATTTCTTGTGTGTATTTCTTTTGGGTCTTGTGTTTTTAAATGTTGTTTGTGCCTCTTTTTAAGTGCATTTTCTATAAACCTCCTACCAAATGTGTCTTATTGTGAAATACCTATGTGAAAAGAAACACATTTTTTTGTTTGTTTTTTACAAAGAAAAGAAAAATACTTTTGTTTAAAATCATGACATTAACCAGCTTTTTAACGCAGTACATTGTTTTGGTTGAATAAATTGAGATGAGAACATTTCAGTGACATGTGGATGTCAGGGTTAGCACTTTGCTGACACATTTTCTGACATGGTCAGTGATCATTTGTGTTTCTAATAATCTGTGGTCATTGTATGTGTCCTCCCACATCAACGACTCACAGCAACAAAGAATCCCAGAGAAATCAAAGGAAAATGTGTCCCAACTATTGCCCTTAAGCGATCTGAAATGTCAATGTGTGAATGTGACAGACTTACCGTTTTTCATGTTAAAACATGTTGGTATGATAAGAGACGAATGCTGTATGGGAAAGAGCTTTAAAAGTTTTTTTTTTTTTTTTTCCCAAATTTCTTTTTGAGAGAATACATTCTTATATTTATGAGCTTTATTTTTGACTGAAATAAAGTTTATTTGTAGACCAAAGGAGAGTTTTGTTATTTTTGTAAATTAACCCTTCATATTAATAGTTTGGACAGCTATGAAAGTAATTTAAATTTGGACTCTTAGTATGACATTATTACTTCATATGCCTGCTTAGAAATGTTTTTTTTAATATACAATTTATAACAGTATTAAGTATTGAGGCTTAGCATGAGGTTTTTTTTTTATATTATGCACCTCTATCGTGTATTGCTAAGCATCAGTTACAGTAAAAGATACATAGCAGTTTTCAAAACAATTGACATTAGTTATACATGTGCATACAAGTGCAAATATCTCTTAGTCTTAGCCACGCACTGTTTTTTTGGTTAGTTTATGCAACTACATAAGATGAATTATAAAAATGTTTGAAATAGCTTACCCTCTGCAGAAGTATTTCTACTAATAATTGCGAATTATTACTTTTCACCTATACTTTAGGTTTTATCATGCAATGTAAGATCAAAATAGACACAATTGAATAAGTAATAAAAACATGTAAGTTTAGATCTGATTACTCATTTACAGCTTTCTGTTTGGCCCTGATGCATCCCACCTTAAATGTTTTTAATATCATTCAACATTTAACAATATTTAGGCATTAAAGACTTAAATTATGCTTGTCTCTGGTGAAAATCACAGATGATTCCGGAGAAAAAAATGAAATGGTCATTTATTAGATCATTCCTTCCTAAGCTTCCTCTAAATGGGACACTCTGGCATCATTGACTGTGATTACATAAACTCCAGTGAAGCTAGATTAACCCGATGGTCACTGCATGATCCTAAGCTTTTTACTAACAGATTTAACTTCAAAAATCTAACATCAGTACTTCCTGCAGTTTCAAATCAATGGACTAAATTTTTCCATATGATTTAGATGGTAGCTCATTAAAACAGATGGTATTTAACTAGTTTTCTTTCTGAATTGTATTAAAATCAAGGCCCTACAATAGCAAATCTTAAAGAAAGTAATACAGTACATATGGTTGGATAATCTGTTTGCTTATTCTCTATATGCTGCAGCACTATTGATACCCCTTTGAGTCAGAGGGTGACATTTGGAGGCCATGATCCAAGTGCCTATTTAGTCTGTGACTCACATCACTGGTTTGCTGCAGCTCACCATAGCAACAAGTGAAATTTGGCATTCACACTCAGGGAGAGTGGAGGATGCAGTCAGGACTACATTACCACATCCGGGAGGATTATGAGCAGGTGTTGTTTTCATCTCTTATAAAATTAATAAAAAACAATATGTTATTAGAAACATAATAAAATTGATGCATCATTTAGAGAACCAAACACGGGAGACAGGGACTGTACCTGCCTTAACTCACCCTGATGTGTTCTAAAAGTACTGATTATTCTTAAAAAAATCATGCTAATTATGCTTCAATGGCATTCCTTTTCTTAGTTTGGCAATCCTCCAGCTCTAAAAAAAAATAAATTAAAAATGGCTGCATACATACAAAAGATTATATTCCTTAAAGTTTGTCACATTATAACAACAAACATCAAATGTAACTTAGTGGGATTTTATCTGGCAGACAACGACAAGGAGATTGTATTTTTTTATTGGTTGGATAGACTGCTTAGATGTAGATATCTTTTGTCTAATGTTTTTTTTTTTTTTTTTTCGCTTGTTTGTTCGGTCAAACATTAAAAAGGTGACTTTTATTAAAGTTTTATTCAGGCATAGATAACATTTGGTCTCTCTAAAAAGAGTTAAAACTACTCTTGTTATAGCTATTTTTAAGAGTAGTTTCTTTATTTCAGATAAATAAAAATCCTCTTAGATAAGCCTCCTGTAGAATATCGCTCTTTTTTGGCACTAGTACTTTATTTAAGAGTAGACAGGTGGGAGGTTGGGTTTAAAGAGAGGGGAGGACATGCAGCAAAGGTCAACTAGCTGAGACTTGAACTAAGGACTGACGCCTCCATGCATGGATGGCGAGCTTGACCATTGCACATCAGCATGGCATCCATGACCAGAAAAAACAGAAGCGACACTTGGAAAAAAGTGTCGCTTCTCAAAAAAGCAATTTTTGAGAAAAATGCTTTTAACTTTAGAAATAAATTGACTCAGTCTTTTTTACTTGTGCTCTAGAAGTTTTCAAATGTTGATTTTATTTTGCTTCAAAATGAACCCAAACCAACCTAGTGTGACTGAACCCATTGATGCTGTAGGATAGATGGTCTAAAATTGTAATATACACTCACCGGCCACTTTATTAGGTACCCCATGCTTGGACCCCCTTTTGCCTTCAGAACTGCCTCAATTCTTCGTGGCATAGATTCAACAAGGTGCTGGAAGCATTCCTCAGGGAGTTTGGTCCATATTGACATGATGGCATCACACAGTTGCCGCAGATTTGTTGGCTGCACATCCATGATGCGAATCTCCCGTTCCACCACATCCCAAAGATGCTCTATTGGATTGAGATCTGGTGACTGTGGAGGCCATTTGAGTACAGTGAACTCATTGTCATGTTCAAGAAACCAGTCTGAGATGATTCCAGCTTTATGACATGGCGCATTATCCTGCTGAAAGTAGCAATCAGAAGTTGGGTACATTGTGGTCATAAAGGGATGGACATGGTCAGCAACAATACTCAGGTAGGCTGTGGCGTTGCAACGATGCTCAATTGGTACCAAGGGGCCCAAAGAGTGCCAAGAAATTGTTCCCCACGCCATGACACCACCACCACCAGCCTGAACCGTTGATACAAGGCAGGATGGATCCATGCTTTCATGTTGTAGACGCCAAATTCTGACCCTACCATCCGAATGTCGCAGCAGAAATCGAGACTCATCAGACCAGGCAACGTTTTTCCAATCTTCTATTGTCCAATTTCAATGAGCTTGTGCAAATTGTAGCCTCAGTTTCCTGTTCTTAGCTGAAAGGAGTGGCACCCGGTGTGGTCTTCTGCTGCTGTAGCCCATCTGCCTCAAAGTTCGACGTACTGTGCGTTCAGAGATGCTCTTCTGCCCACCTTGGTTGTAACGGGTGGTTATTTGAGTCACTGTTGTCCTTCTATCAGCTCGAACCAGTCTGGCCATTCTCCTCTGACCTCTGGCATCAACAAGGCATTTCCGCCCACAGAACTGCCGCTCACTGGATGTTTTTTCTTTTTCGGACCATTCTCTGTAAACCCTAGAGATGGTTGTGCGTGAAAATCCCAGTAGATCAGCAGTTTCTGAAATACTCAGACCAGCCCTTCTGGCACCAACAATCATGTCACGTTCAAAGTCACTCAAATCACCTTTCTTCCCCATACTGATGCTCGGTTTGAACTGCAGGAGATTGTCTTGACCATGTCTACATGCCTAAATGTGCTGAGTTGCCGCCATGTGATTGGCTGCTTAGAAATTAAATGTTAACGAGCAGTTGGACAGGTGTACCTAATAAAGTGGCCGGTGAGTGTAGTTCAGATATACAACAATTTTTACCATTTCAAATGTATAAATTCCACTTCCCAATTAGGTAGGTTACTCATTTCAGTTTGTCTGTCACAAAAATATTCAACCAAATATATTGATGTGGTTTGAGCATGACAAAATGGTTTAAAGCGTATTACTACTATACAATTTCATTGTATATCAACAAATGTAATTCTCTACAAAATGTTGAAAATACATTTTGGTGCAAATAAAATACTTGAACTCTAATAAAGGTTTGCAGCCTCACTAACTGCTCTAGATTGTTCTTCACACACAGTTTGCTAAAATGAGACTGAACATAAAACAAAGCTGAGTTTTTCGAAAACATCAGCTTGTGATACTGAAAGTGTTGCTGACATTTTATTGCACTTCCAGAGTGTTCAACACTCAGCTCGAGTTTTACAGTCTTGTTTATCAAACTAATTGGATCTCTCTCTGCCATATATCACTCAAGATTTTGAGTGCATTTTGCCTACTCCTCCACTGGCCCCCACTAGCCTCATTCCCAGCCTCTTTCCCAGGAGGAAACGTATGATATTGTCCTTGTGGAAAAGTACTGGCATTTGGACCATGCTTTTGTTCATTGTCTATTACGAACAGAGAAAACACGAACAAAAGCCCGGGACAAATGCTTGAAATGGATGGATTAGGTGGAAGTCGTCTGGCCAAATGTATTATAAAATAATAGTATAAGCGGTTTAAATCTACAGTATTTTTCCTAAGAAAACACCACAAGCTTATCATGACCTTTTTAGACTTTATCCTGTCATCTGTTTCAGTGTTCTTTGTGTTTGGGATAAGATAGGATAAGGGAACTTTATTGTCCCAGGAAGGAAAACTGTAATGGAGAAAGTTTGGGTGAAGGCAGACAGAATGAAGCAAAAGTGTTTATTTGATCAGAAAACAAAGGATAAAATAAAATACTTAGTGAGTAGAATGAAAACACTGGTAAACTGGTAAACACTGGTGATAAACATGGGAACAGAAATGTCCAACCTGTTTGCTGTCTTCCTTATTCGTCTTCATGCTATTTTTTCTCAGCTATTTTAACAAACATTGAAACCTTAAAAAAAAAAAAAACAAAAAAAAAAACATGAATGTTCTTACTGAGGTTTATTTACCTGTAAACTGGGTTGCATTCAATTTTAGTTTGGGGTATTAGAGTAAAGGGATGTGAAAACCAAGGCATCACACACTTTTCAGATTTTACCAATATAATTAAGAAACCAATGTATCCCTTTTACCTCCAGATCATAGTTGTGGCTTACATTCTTTTTGTTAATTATAAAAAATCCCAA